TGTGGCTAAAATTGCCAACCCGTCTAAGTTAGTGGCTAGTTTTTGCAATTTAGCCTTCACTATTATTCTATGATATTGCACTTTATCTCTGACAAGTGCTGCCTTTAGCTTCAGAGGCTCTTCACCGGAAACTCTCCTCCGGTGTTAAATTCTTGCAGATGCGGAAGTCGTCCGAAGTAAAAGGAGCTCAAGTGAAGTCTATTTCATATACAACGGTGCTTAAATATGCGTCTTCGAAAGCTTAAATTAGGTCAAAGACAACCTCAAAAGTCGAGTATATGTAGAGTACCTCCCCTCCTTGATTAACACACGTACAAAGAGAGAAAAAAAAGGGCAAACTAAAAACAAAGAAAGACGAAACATGACAAAAGCATAAAAATAGCCATCTTTATTTGTCTCCACCAGCCTCCGCCTCCTCCCGTTGGTGGGGGACTGAAATGACCACTACATTTGTATCAGTCAACTGAATTTTGGGATGATTGTTGTTAAACGTGCCAAAAATGAACCCCGTGTGTGGGGTGTGTGTGTGTGTGTGCGTGTGTGTGTGGGGAGAGGCTTTGTAGCCTTTGTTTAATATTGTTTTGAGATTAATTTTAAATGTGATTTCTCTTCTTCCATCAGTATAATATAGAAGCTCAGCATGGGCCAAGAATGACCGTGCATTGATTTATTTTATTTTAATAGTAATGGTAAACACAATGTGGCCATACCCACTTTTATATTACTTCTTGATAAATATATTAAAGAAATTAATTGTGGGGAATACAATAGGCAATATAGCTAATTTATATATTTAAATGTTGAAACCAGGTAAGACTCGCTGGGCCTTTTGAGAATTGGTGTAACATTTTTAAAATATTTGGTAAGTTAATAATAACTCTAATTTTATTGAACATAGATACCCCTTTATTATAAATGTATAATATATTATATGAAAATTATATTTTGATAAACAAATTACTAAGTTTTTATAAACAAGATTCAGTTCAACTTCAACTAAGAGCAACATCAGTCTTCTGCTATAGACAAGAGTAGAGTAAACTTAAATTTAAGTTTGGTCTAAATACTTGCGCTACATTTTAGGTTACATCAAATATATTATTTTCTTATTCACTTCTATATCAGAAAAAATGTTATATATATATATATATATGTATGTATATTGAGTCTTATATATACAAAATTATGACCCAAATAATAAAAATATGCTTATGTGTAATAATATGAGACTGGTTCATAAATTCAAACAATAAGAATATAATATACATAATACTATTAGAAAAAAAAAAAGAAACATTTGAAACAACTACTACAATAATTTTACATCTAATTTTTATGAATTAGAAAACTCGTCCCATAAATGATCAATCAGTGCATCACGAATGGAGATATGAACTTATTTATCTTGAATCTGCTTGTATCGAGCTATATGTATATTATATGTGATGGTTCCAGCCAAAACCATGTGCACAAACAAATAAATAAAATATGCAAGAAATAAGACACCAAGATTTAACGTGAAAAAACCTCCAAAATAGAGGAAAAAACCACGGGACAACCTCCGAACAACTCCACTATATCTTCAAGATAATTACAATATCTTTTCACACTCCCTTACACTAGAAATGTAAAATATAGTGACCCAGTGAGACCCCACTCCTAAACAATGAATAATAGAGTTGATACCCAACCCGGTGTATTTTTCCCACACTCAGAGGATTTACTCAAACACTCTATTTTTATCTCACTGAAAAATAACACTCCAGAAATTATTTCTGCTCTCTTTTTCTTTCTTCTTCTCGGTGCATTTTCCAGCCCTCAACCGAGTGCTATTTATAGCAGAGAAATGTTACATATGAACAAAACAAATAATTGTGGCCAGCTCTCCTTTTTTGTTTCTTTTCAATAATATGGCAAACAATCAAGACCTTTTGTTTTCTTTCAAAATTTTTTATTTGTTTGTACATGGTTTTGGCTGGAACCATCAATTCTCCCATCCAGCCAAAGGGTAATATTCTGCAATTCTTCACATGAATTCCATGCCGATCAACTCGGCACAAAGCTGAAGCTTTCCTCCTGTTATAACTTTCGTCATCATGTCAGCAGGATTTTCGTCTGTGTGAATCTTTTCAACCTTGAACTGTTGTTCTTCCACCGCTTGACGTAGCCAATGATATCTGACATCAATGTGCTTCGTGCGAGAGTGGTACATCGCATTCTTACTTAAATCCAATGCGCTCTGACTATCGCAATGGATATCGTACCTTTCCTGCTTCATTCCCAATTGTTGAAGAAACCTCTTCAACCAAAGCATTTCTTTTCCTGCTTCTGTCATTGCAATATACTCTGCTTCAGTAGTCGACAAGGCAACAGATTTCTGCAATTTAGATTACCAAGATACAGCTCCTCCTGCAAATATAAACACAAACCCTGAAGTAGATTTTCTACTATCCAGGTCACATACCATATCTGCATCTGTATAACCTTCAATAACTGGGTTTCCTTTTCCGAAGCTCAAGGACTTATTTGCACTGCCTTTTAGGTACCTCAAGATCCACTTCACAGCTTCCCAATGATCCTTTCCAGGATTGTAAAGATACCTGCTAACAATTCCAACCGCGTGAGCGATATCTGGTCTAGTACAGACCATGGCATACATCAAACTACCGACTACTGAGGAGTATGGAACACCTGCCATAGCTTCTTTTTCTTCTTGACTCGTAGGACAACTTTGTTTGCTGAGTTTGAAGTGATTGGCTAACGGTGTATTGACTGGCTTAGTCGATTTCATGTTGAATCTCTCCAGAATCTGATTCACATACCGTTCTTGCGATAACCATAACCTCTTGGATTTTCGGTGTCGCATGATGTGCATGCCCAAAATTTGTTTCGCAGGGCCCAAATCCTTCATTTCAAAGGACTTTGCTAAATCCTTCTTCAGATCACCAATCAACTTCATATCCTGTCCCACTATCAACATATCATCTACATATAACAAAAGAATAATGATTTTACCACCTGGAAATTTCTTAACGAACACACAATGATCTGCATCAGTCTTGGTATATCCATGACTCGCCATGAATGAGTCAAATTTTTTATACCACTGTCTTGGAGCTTGTTTCAGTCCATACAGGCTCTTCTTCAATCTGCAGACCATGTTCTCCTTTCCAGTCTTCTCAAATCCTTCTGGTTGCTTCATGTAGATTTCTTCATCTAGATCTCCATGAAGAAATGCAGTTTTCACATCTAGTTGTTCAAGCTCCAGATCCAAGCTAGCCACCAATCCGAGTACTACTCGAATAGAGCTCATCTTTACAACCGGTGAGAATATCTCATCAAAATCTATTCCTTGCTTTTGTCCAAATCCTTTCACAACTAAGCGAACCTTGTACTTCAAAAGCTTGTCACCACATCTTTCTTAAGCTTGAACACCCATTTATTTTTCAAGGCTTTTCTACCTTCCGGAAGCTTCACAAGCTCATAAGTTTCATTTTTCATCAGTGAATCCATTTCTTCTTGCATGGCTTTCATCCATTGGGATTTATCCTTATGAGTTTGTACTTCTTCCAAGCTTTCTGGCTCATCTTCTTCAGTGATGGTAATATACGTGGAACTAGGGTATCTCGTAGACGGTTGGATCGCTCGATTTGATCTCCTGAGCTGAGGCGGAGCTTCGTGGTCTTCCTGCTCGACACTTTTACCATCACCATCATCTAATGCTGGCTCATCATCAACCCTGAGTTCTCCATCATACTCTCCCCCTGCTGTGGCATCTCCAAGAGGTTTGACAGGTGAAGGATCCACATTTCCACTTGGTTCTTTTTATTTCTGGTGAAGCAGAATCATATATAGTTTCTTGCTCATGGAACACTACATCTTTGCTTCTGATAATCTTTCGATTTTCTGGATCCCATAACCTGTAGCCAAATTCCTCATGGCTTTATCATCAAGTTTCCGTCTCTATTCCTTACTTACGTGAGCAAAAGCTTTGCATCCAAACACCTTTAAATGAGAGTATTTAACATCATGTTCGGACCATACTCTCTCAGGGATATCAAAGCCCAAAGTAACAAATGGAGATCGGTTGATCAGGTAGCACGCCGTTAGAACAGCTTCACCCCAGAATGGCTTAGGTAGCTTAGCCATTCTTAACATACACCTCACTTTCTCCATAATGGTTCTGTTGATTCTTTCAGCCACACCATTATGTTGTGGGGTTCCAGGTACAGTCTTCTCATGCTTGATGCCATGCTCGGCACAATAATTCTTGAATTCATGGGAAGTATACTCCCCCCCATTATCTGAACGAAGACACTTCAAAGGTTTACCAGCCTGTCTCTCCACCATAGCATGAAATCTTTTGAAGTATTTAAAAACTTCGCCCTTCATTCTCAAGAAACACACCCACAATTTTCTTGAAGCATCATCAATAAACGTCACGAAATATCTGCTACCACCGAGACTCTCCACTTCCATGGGTCCACATACATCAGAATATACCATCTCCAACACATTTTCTTTCAGCTTCGAGGTTTTGCTGAAAGACACTCTATGATGCTTCCCAAAGAGACAATAATCACAAGGACTTAGTTTTGAATCTTTGGCAAATGGGATGAGAGTCTTTCTTGCCAAAATTTGCAATCCTTTTTCACCAATGTGAGCCAGTCTTTTGTGCCACAAATTTGGCGAAGCACATCTTCGACTGCATTCAATCCACCCTTGATCAGCTTCACTTGAGTTCTGTACAGTGTCGATCTCACTGTACCTCAAGCAGCTAACAATGATCCTTTGGTAAGCCTCCATGTACCGCTACCAAAATTGTTAGTATAGCCTGCTAGATCCAATGCATGCTCAGAGATCAGATTCAGACGTAAGTCTGGTATATGTCGTACGTCCTTCAGTGTTACAGTGCACCCAATATCAGTTTGAATGCACACTTCACCAACTCCCACAATATTTGCAATGCTGTTGTTGTTCATCTTTACTCTACCAAAGTCTCCTTCTTTGTATAGAGAAAAGAATTCCTTGCGAGAGGTTGCATGGTATGATGTTGCTGAGTCAATGACCCATTCAACACATGAGTCAGCAACATGACACTCTTCTTCTTCAACAGAGAGCAACACCACTTCCTCATTGATCACAGGGGTTGCGGTATTTTCATCGTTCTCTGTCTTGTTATTTCTCCAACCTTTATTCTTCCAGGCTTTGCAGTTTCTCTTGATATGCCTTCTTCACCGCAGTGATAACACTTGAACTTTCTCCTGGGTTGAGATTGTGATTTATCTCTGGCTTTGCTATTTCGGCCTCTGCTTTTACTTCTCCCCCTGGTTTTTGTGACCAGGGCTTGGGAGCTACTTGCCCCAGAGTCTTTTCTTCTTGTTTCTTCATTAAACATATTGTCTTTGACTTGGGTCAAAGTCAGTTTTCCTTCAGGAGCAGAGTTGCTCAACGAGACCACCAGAGTCTCCCAGCTACCCGGTAAAGAACTCAAAAGTAACAGCACCTGCAACTCTTTATCAAGTTTCATTTCCATGGTAACAAGTTGGTTCACCATGTCTTGAAACTCATTCAAGTGTTCTGCAACTGATCTTCCATCCCGATATTTTAGATTTACAAGCTTTCTAATGACGAAAGCTTTATTCTGCGCAGTCTTCCTCTGGTACATTTGTTCAATTTTGTTCCACAGAGTATGAGATTTCGACTCTGTGGCAACATGGTGGAATATGCTGATATCCACCCATTGTCGGATTAAACTGACAGCCTTCCTGTGTAATTTTTTCCAATCGTCATCCTTCACATCATCTGGCTTGTTGTCTCCCTTTTCTACAGGATCGTACAAATCTTTGTAGAAAAGTATGTCCTCCATTTTTGGCTTACAAATGAAGTAATTTGTTGCTGTGAGCTTCACCATGGTACCCACGTTCTCCTCCATTTAATTTACACTGGCGATACAGAACCTAACTTGAGCTCTGATACCACCTGTTGGACTCAGATGCGCAAATGCGGAAGGTGTGAATTAAAATATCAAGGTAAAATGGTGAACAATAATCCCAATCCCAGCAATTCAAGAATGACAAAAGAAAATCTCTTGCAGTAAAATAGGAATAATTCTTTTATGATGTGGAAGATCAGATTAAACTGCGACCACAGAGCATACTAAGAATATCCGAAATAAATAAAATATGCAAGAAATAAGACACCAAGATTTAACGTGGAAAAACCTCCAAAATAGAGGAAAAAACCACGGGACAACCTCCGAACAATTCCACTATATTTTTAAGATAATTACAATATCTTTTCACTCCCTTACACTAGAAATGTAAAATATAGTGACCCAGTGAGACCCCAATCACAGGATTTACTCAAACGCTCTATTTTTATCTCAATTAAAAAATAACACTCCATAAATTATTTCTGCTCTCTTTTTCAGAGCCAGGTTTAATCTTTTCTTCCACATCAGAAAAGAATTATTCATATTTTATTGCAAGAGATTTTCTTTTGTCATTCTTGAGTTGCTGGGATTGAGATTATTGTTCACAATTTTACCTTGATATTTTAATTTACACCTTCCGCATTTGCGCATCTGTGTCCAACAATATGTTTATTATTCAAATAATAAAAATATGTTTATGCATAGCAATACGAGACTGCTTAATAAATTCAAACAATAAGAATACAAATTAAATAATACTACTAGAAAAATAAGAACAATTTGAAACAACTATTACCATAACATTACATTTAATTATTATGAATTAGAAAAATCATCCCATAAATGATCAATCAGTGCATTACAAAATGCGATATGAGTTTCTTTATCTCGAATTTGCTTGTATCGATCAACATATGTTTGGAATTGATAAGTTTCACTACCCATCGTTTCAACTCTGGGATCAGGGCCCCTATCGCAGCTTCGATCAGGGCATCAAGATCTCGCCCATCCTCAATTATCATATTATGCAAAATAATACATGCAGTCATTATATCTTTTTACTCCAAAAGTCGGACAGAATTAGCCACAATAGATGATAAGGTATACAATAAAAGCTCGACTTTCAATTTTCGACAACACCATTTTGAATAAGAATCATGTTTTAGTCAAGTGTATGTTTGTAGTTTATTTATTTATGCGAACATAGTTCCTTTATTTTACATTTTAGATAATATTGTTCGATGTGTCGAACATAACGATCACTTTATCGGTGTCTTGTAAAATTAATTAATTTAGTTAAGAAAAATTAATTGAAAAAGTTAGTTAATTAATTTTTTCGATTTCCCGAGTGAATAATTAAAGTAAACCAATCAAGAATAGGCATAATGGCGGAAAATTACACGACCTTTACTTGATTAGTCATTTAATCACGACCTTTAAACTTTGGCAAATAAATACACGACCTTTACATTCTTGACAACCCGATACACACTTTTAACAGCTGTTAACGGAAATCTGACGTGACAAATAAAGTTGACGGGCACACCACACGTGTATCTGAGTCAGCGACCAGGTGTCAAATCGTGCACACGTGGCAGAATTGCAAAAATATTGCAAGAAGGGGATTCAAACGTGGTACCTCTAATATATAAAGTGTGCTTATAAGCTACTTGATCTAACACAACTTGTTTTAAGTATTGAACTTTATTTATATATATACCAGCATCATTTTGTCTATATTATATAAAATTTATACAACTTTTATTTAAAATACTCATAAATAATTAATTTATTAAATATATACTAATTATGAAATAAAAATAAGTAAACTAAATAAATAAATAAATGATATAACATTCTTGTTTCAAACTTTTATTATCATTAATGTTATTTTTATATTAATTCACCTTATTTAAATTTAATTATTTTTTATATATAAAATAATTATTTACATAATAGATAAATATATTAAATATACATCATATAAATAAAGATGTTAAATAATAAATTATTATTTGTTTATAAGAATATTAAATAATAAATAAATACTAAATATAGTAAATAAATAATATAATAAAATTAAAATTAAATAAATCATAAATAATATATAATACTTTTTATTTATTTAGTTTTAGTTTATAATTTAATATGTTAATAAAAATAATATTTAATATATTTATTTTATTTAATATAGTACTTTTATTTATTTCATAAAATTTAATTGATTTAATATAATATATAATAGTTAATATTATTATTTTTTTTAATAATATTTAATTTACTTATTATGTTATTTATTTAATATAATAAATAATATTTAATTTATTTAACATATTAAATTACGAACTAAAACTAAATAAATAAAAATATAATTTATTTATTTAATAATATTTATTATTTAAGAGAATATTTTTTATATAATAATATTTAATTTATTTAATATATTATTTATTTAATATAATATATTATATTTATTTTATTTATTATATTAAATTACGAACTAAAACTAAATAAATAAAAAATATTATGTATTAATTTACTTTTAAAATAAAATAATATTTATTTTATTTAATATACTATTTATTTAATATAGTATTTATTTATTTCATAAATCAATTGATTTAATATATAATTATTTAATATAATATATAATATTTAATATTATATGTATTTATTTAATACAATTTAATTTACTTAATGTATTATTTATTTAATATAATATATAATATTTTCTTCATTTAACATATTACATTACGAATTAAAAATAAATATAAAACAATAAATTGATTTATTTAATAATTTAATATAAAAAAGTAAAAAAAAATAATAAAATTTAATTTATTTAATATATTATTTATTTAATATAATATATAATATATAATAAATAAATTAGTATATATTTAATAAATAGCTATTAGTGCGAGAGACCACTAAATGTTAGTGCGAGAGGAAACTATTACTACTTAATAACCTTTACCGATGATTTCTCTAGGTATTTGTTACATATACCTTTTGAGGCATAAATTTGAAGCTTTTGAAAAGTTCAAAGAATTTAGACGTGAGGTGGAGAAACGAACTGGTCGTAGTGTTGAGACTCATCAATCAGATCGAGGATGTGAATACTTAACCACTGAGTTTTTTTATTATCTAAAAGAATGGGATTCTATTGCAGTGGACTCCTCCTGGTACTCCACAACTTCATGGAGTTTCAGAAAGGAGGAACCATACCTAGTTAGACATGGTCCAATCAATGATGAGTGCCACTGTTTTACCTCTTTCATTCTAGGGCTATGCCTTAAAAACGGCAGTGCATCTATTGAATAAGTTGCCAAGTAAAGTTGTGTCTAGCACACCTTATGAGACATGATGTGGAAAAACACCTTCTTACAAGTATCTCGAAGTATAGGGGTATGTTGTGTACGTGAAATGACCAGTGGGAAATAAGTTGGATATGAGATCCATTATGGGGTACTCAAGAAAGTCTATAAGATATTATTTCTATGATCCCTTTGAACAAAAATTGTTTGTTTCGAGGAATGTTGTTTTCTTAGAAGAAGAGTTTCTCTCTGATAAGAATAGTGAGGTCGTAGAACTTAATGAAAAACAAGAACCACAAAGTATCCCACAAATTGTCACGGATAACACACTCCGAGAAGTTGCGTGGGCTGGGCTGGAGGTGGCGTCATAAATAATTTAGGGATATTTATTTTAGGTCAGATAAATTGAGTATCAACAATTCTTATCATTCAAACATGAGATGCAAACATGAAAAAACCAAAAAAAGAAAAAAAGAAAAAAAGAAAAATGAAGTGAAACAACAATCATAGAAACTAAAATTACAAAACAAGGCGCGCAAAAAATGAAACTGCAATCCAAACTCACATTGAGAAGTGTTAATGAAATGTTCTAATGGTATAAATACAGAAGAACAAAATTACATATGAGTAAAGTTAGAAACTTACAAAATGCTACAGCCCAACAAGTTCTGGACACTCAACGAGCAGCGCCAAAAATGTTCATATGCGGTGGTGGAGCCGCTGACCAAAATTTATGCTGCAGCGACGACAGAGAAATTTATGATGGAAGACCGCGACAAAGCCATGAGTGGCTGCTGGAATTAGAGTCAAAATTCAACCCAATTGTCAAGAGGATTTGGAGGCAATGGCCGAAGAGAAGTAAGAGCATCCACAATGCTTCGAGTTCTTTCAAAAAAATATACAGGCCACATAGGAAATAGATCCGGTCTAGAAAAATATATACTCCAATGCAAATGCAATTGAACAGGGATCTGCTGATGTGGCAGCAAGAAAATGAGACCCGGTCAATTCCTGAGTCTATTTTAGATCAAGTAGAGACCTAGTTTTTTTGTATTGGAGTTAATTTCTTTACTTTTATATATTTTTGTCCATGTCATCCAAGACTTGAGTCTATTTACATGCCATGTAAGCAAAATTAGACCCAAAGCATTGTACATGCTTTAAGAGATGGGGAGGGGTAGAGAAAGAGATGTCGGGGACAAAAAGGGGGAAAGATAAGTCGGGGTTCGACGAGGGTTTGTTTGGAAGTTTGAGAGGGAGACGGGGCCGACAGGAGTAAAGTGAATGAGGGATGAATTAAGGTTTGTCAAGTGTTGACTTTTTTTAATACCATATATGTACTTTATTTAATCTTTAATATATACATATATATTATATATATTTATATATTATGTTAATATATAAAATTATGAAGCACCCTGCGTTCACGTACACTAGTTTAGTTCGCGAATTTGTTCGTGTTCGTTCGACAACTATACGAGCATAATTTTATGTTTGAATTCGAATCTACTACTAAACGAATGAGTTGTTCTCTAACACCAATGAGCTTTGTTCCCGAACGTCGAACGTTCGATAGCAGCTCTAGTAAGGAGCGGTGTTGTTTTTTTTTTTTTTTTTTCTAATCAAGTGCCTAATGTCCTTTGTGGATGGGTGCCTTATTGTAGGCAACGCAATTTTTATGCTTTTGTTAGACATCTTTTGTAACTTTGATGAAACCTAATAATTTTCGAACTTGAAGATATGTACTTAATTTGATACTTGTGTAGGTAAGGTACGTTTGATGTTATGTTTATGGTTTAGGGGCATTGAAATGAATTGTTGAACTATATAAGTCACTTTATAATTACATGTTTAGAAACTTTGAGTGTATGCTTCATTCATTATTTATCCGTCAGAATGTCCATCACATACTACTTACTTGAAATTCAATAACAATAAGCAACAAATGTTGAGCCTCTTTATTTCACGAAAAATAGTTGACAAGAACTTCAAATACATGATCGCTACTTGAATCCATTACAACACATCTTCCTACACTACTTGTTCACGTAAAGCCAAAACCAAGACACAAGTAGCACAACCAACATGATCTTCTCTCTAAGATTCTTGCGCACCAAATCCTCTTCAAGACGATGGACTTGTTTTTGAAGTCCGGGGATAATCTATTGAGATCTTGGCACTTTTTTTTTTTTGATAGCCAGCTACGGTATTCAGAGTTATGCTTCGACTAATCTGTTGGTCGATTCGGGTCGCACAGTGGTGGGTGAGTCTCAAAACAAGGGTTTTCTGCATCCACAAGGACTCGAACCCGAGACCTTGCTTAAGCGACATCAAGTTACTTACCACTTTTTTTTTTTCGTACGAAGAAGGAGACTCCAGGGAGCCTAGATGGAAACCAAACGCCGAAGCGCGATTCCTAGTTGATCATGGTGTAACCAAGTACCCACTCCAGTCGGGGGATGTGCCAACCGTTGCAAACCCAAGGGCCCGTTGGCCGCCTCAGCCGCTAAAAATCCGCCACAGAATTGGCCTCGCGATAGACGTGTCTCAGTTCGACTTCCCAAGCACGGCCCAACAAATCAGTAATGCCCCTTATAAGACCACCATACGGACAACTACATGTGGCTTGCCGAACCAAGGCTAGAATACCCATATTATCCACCTCCGCGATGATCTTCCGGAACCCTAAATCCCATGCCAATGCAAGCCCGTGGTACAAGCCCACAACTCCGCCCCAAAAATAGGGCAAATACCGATGTTCAAAATGAAACCGGAAATCCACGAACCCCGGTGATCACGGAGGACACCTCCTGCACTGGCCAAACCCGTCGCCGGATTATAGCTCCCGTCTGTTTTAACCTTAATAACATGTTCAGCCGGTGATTCCACGGAGGACACATCAATTCGTCGTCTTCTTTTTATGCAAAATTTTCTGGTTAAAGCAAGCAAAAAAGAAAGAAGTTTGATTCCACGGAGCAAAAATCGAGTCCAAAATGTGTTCTTCAAATGGTTAACACCGTGTTTGGGAGGTATTATGACTAAAAAATTGACTTGATCGAGTTTTAGAAGTTGTATTAGATAGAACACAATTCAAAAGTTCGAACTTTAGCATATAATTCGAGGTAAATTTTATGTTGTACAAAAAGGGGTGCAATTTTGGTAAACTTTTTCTCGTTTGAAAAGCTAGCAAAATATTAAAGTCGTTCATGATCAGACAACTCTTTTGTTGTTTATATCAATATCGTGATTTAGTCTCTCTCTCACACACACACACACAAACTACACACACTAATCCTCTCTGCTGCAGAAGATTCATCATCCTAATAAGGCTGAGCCTAGAGAGAGAGAGAGAGATCCATAGGCTATTGCAAATATAGCACAATACAAAGCTAGAGAGAGAGAGGATCACAAAATTAGACTGAAGAAAACTGCATTTAATAATATATATATTATTATATAATAAAAGAAAAACACATTTTTTGGAGGATAAAATTCGAATTAGGAACCCTTTCATCTTCTTTATTCCCTTTTTCCTTTCTTTAATGGCGGAACCCGGCTTTTCCCGGTTTCCGGGTCACCACCTGGACCCCGCCGCTCAAGAATTCTTCCCGACGGCGACCCTGATTTACTACCCCTACCCTCCTCCTCCCCCGCCGGGATACGCGCGGCCGCCGCAGTTTCCCCCTCCCCCACCTCCCCCGCCGGCGTCCCTGCCACCGCCGTCGCCGGCTCCGTCCCGGACGCTGCTCCTGAGCATGGTGCCGGCTTCAGTGAGCGAGTCGGCGGTCCGCCGCGAGCTGGAGGTGTTCGGCGACGTGCGGGCGGTGCAGATGGAGCGGCGGCGCGAGGGTTTGGTGACCGTCCATTTCTACGACGTGAGGGACGCGCAGTCGGCGCTGGCCGCCGTCCAGGAGCAGCACATGCAGCAGCAGTACCGACTGGGACGACACTACGAGGCCGTGTTCCATAACTCCATGGTCGCGCCGCCGCCACTGCCGCCGCAATCGGCGCGTGGACTCATCCAGGGACGGGTGGTTTGGGCCCAGTTCACCGCCCCGGTCACCTCCCTTCTCCCCGACGGCAATAATCAAGGAACCCTTGTTATTTTCAATCTGGATCCCCACCTCCCTGCTGCTTACCTCACACGCATTTTTGAAGCTTTTGGTATGATTTTTTCTTCACTTTCATTTTTCTGGTTTCTAAAAATCAAATAAATGATGATGATACAATTAATTAACCCCCAGATTTTTCTCCTTCAACAGTTTTTTTAGATAGAATTGTGTCTGTGTTTCTTCTTCTTCAAGTGTTTTTTTTCCTTCTTTTAATGTTTGTTGGCATATATAAATTATTAGCATGAAAAAATGTAGATTTTTTTGAAAAAATCAAAAAAAAAAAAAAAAAAA